CCATTGTGGACCTGGAGGGAATCGAACCACAGCCCTCCACATCCAAGCACGACCTGCTACCCACCACACCAGCGGTCCTCATGCTTCAAGCTCAGCCTGGCAGCACATCTACTGTGTATTTGCCTTTCAAAACAGAATGCATCGCTTTCTTGCCTCACACAGGCAGCTTTCAGTTCTTTTTTTTGACATTCTTTGCCGGAGTTTTACGCAACAGTCCATTCTTAGCAAGTTCTCAAAAAAAATTCCGTGATACCCTCTTTCAGTATAAGAAGTAACTGTCGCATGCTGCAGACAAGAAAACATCATCTGAAGAATGAATCTTCAGCACTACAGCAGATCCAACGGTTCCGGAATCAAGTGAGCCGTAGAATCGTATTAAAAATAACAACCTTCATAAAGTTGCCCTTGATTTGCGGCACCGTCGCCGAATAAGGTGAAGGAGACGTTCTTCTTTTTATTATACTTTTGAGCGAACGCTAAGCCAGCACCAATTGCCTGTTGCGCGCCGACAATTCCGTTACCGCCGAAGAAATTTTTATTGTACATATGCATCGAACCCCCTTTTCCATGCACATTACCGGTGCGTCGTCCTTAAAATATGCGTATTTTAATTAGAAATAGTAGCTGAATATAAAGAAAATGCCCTTACTGCTTACAAGAATGCGTTGCGAGGGCTTCCTGAGAAATTAAATGAACAGATATCACTAGGATGAGATACCCACATCGACACGCGGGTAGTCTTGATATTTCTGGCATTTAGAATATCCTCTTGTTGGTGAGTACCTGCTCATGGTCAACTTTCAAGAGAGGACAGTGATGCTTAACACATACTTGTGATAACCAGAAATTGCTAAAATCCTGCCATAACGTTTTTGCTGGACGAACTTTAAACCGGTACTCTCTTCAGGAAACGAAGCAAGTGCCAAGATCACCCATGAGTTGTGGCAATGAAGTAATGTTCAATGCAACTAGCAACTGCATCACTAGTAACATCAACAGCTTTGCGTTGAAAAAACTTGTAGCCTTACTGAGGCACAAAGCACGTAAATTCCACGTGTTTATGAGAAATGGGT